AATTTATGATTTTTGTTTATTTTAAAAGGTATATATAAAACCTAAAAAAATTGTTTTGTTTCACATCCTCCACGTTCAAAATTTGATAAGGCTTAGCAACCTATGACAAGCAGCAAATGAGAACAAAGTTTGTAACTAGAAGAGATTATTATATTCTATAGTTCTTTATTTACTGTTCTATGTTTTAAGAAAAATAACTGAAATTTAAGAACTTATTTGTAAATTGTAATAATGTATATACATATATAATGTTTTATAACTGAAAAGTGATTGTATTTTACAAAATACTAGAGTGTCCAACTAATCAGAAATATATTATATACATTGAAAAGTCAGATTGTAAACTTGGAACCTCCAAGTTTCTTTCTGTACTGAGGTATAGCTCACATTACATTTCCCCTCCCATGTCTTTCTGTTTGACATTGTTTTTGGATTATTTATAATCAATAAAAAGAGCAACGTTTTTTACAACATTCCTTATGTGGTAATTGTTATTAGATCATTTATAACTAGTACAAGAGCAGTTTTTTTACAATATTCTTTACACTGTTATTTTCTTTTGCTACAGTTTCATTATTTATGACCATGTTTTTTTGCTCCAAACAGATAATGGAAAATATTTTAATCTATTTATAGTTTAGTTAGAAAGCTAGTTAAATAAGGAGTTTGGGGATATTGTATTCTAGAGCCTGATATACATTTGTTTTATAAAATGCATATTTGAAAGAAACATTAATGATTTTGTAAGGAACCAACATAGTATGAAATAATTAGTGCTAAGGAAACACACTCATGCATACAAATTATTGTAATAGGTTTCAACTATAATGTAAGGCAAAAATGTATTGTTTTTTTATACATATATTTTTAATTGTTATATTTTTTTCAATAAAAGTAACTAAGATGTACAAATTAGAAATTTTTAGGTTAGAAACAAAAAGTAAATGAAAAAATTTAATAAAATTTCACAAGACTATTTCAAGCTAACTGCATCACATGATGTTAACCTGATCGGTTGTTTACGTTAAGCTCTCCCACTGTGGTTAATTGCCTGTCATGTACTTGGATAGGATCTAATAAAGGTCATTGTAAAGTAATAAAATTAAAAGCAATAAGATTTCAAAAGGTTAAATAACTGTGGCTTTTAGGATAAATAATTGTAATTTTTTGTTAAAATCTGTAGTTATTCTAGAAGAAACAAAGGAATTGATTTTATACCATTTTTTAAGTTATTAATTTCACTACAGTTAGTATTAGATAGGGAAAATAAGAGAAAAAGTATGAAGTTTGACCAATAAAGCTTTTAATATTCATTTAGGAGGCTCTAAAGGTTATGCAAGTGAAATATGAAACTGTGAGATGAAAAGGATTTTTATTCTTAGGAAAAAAAATCACCCTGTTTATGCTTAGCAATTAGGGTTAATTAGTAAAACCATTATAGTTCAATTATCTTACAGCAGTACCTATTATTATTTGAGCTTTGCCCAAGTCTGTTAACTCTTTGTATATGACTTGGTCATTTTGACTAACTTTGTAACCATGAAATACTATAACTCTGAATGCACTATGTATATCTTCATGAAATTTGGCTACATTACTAGCTTGTTGTACAAAAAATCAAACTTTCTAATAAAGTATTTGTCTATGAATTTACAAATCTTTTACTGAGTTAATCATATTGAATAAATTAATAACTATAATAATTAAGGAACTTGAAATAGCAAAATACAAGTATAAAATGTGCACCCAATAACATGTGGCAACACTAACAATTGACCCAAAATATGATATATAAAAAAAGAATACAAACTTATGTAAACCATTAGCTTAAGTTCAAAATAAATGTTTAAAAAATACATTAATATTTTAGATCAAAAAACTGAAGTATTACGCATTTGAAGTACATGACTTGTCATTATTCGTGCTTGATCTTGCCCTTTTTTTAATTTTCCCAACAACTTCTCTTACAACAATTTTTGTGACAATTTCAATTCTACCAAAAATATTATTATTATAAATATTTATTAATATTTTCTGAAATTCTTATAAATCTACATCTTTTTTTTGTTTAAGTGATACATTGTTCTCCTGCTCTGTTCTTGATATCAGCTTTATCGTATCATCCTGTCCTTAATTATGTAAAAGCATTTATGTGTATTCAGGAAATTCAGTTATTAAATCTACGATGATCATTGTGTGCACTTCAGGTGGCAAGTACATGCGTTCACATCAAATTTAAAAACTTAAGTTAAACATAAATATATTTATATTTCAACAATTTTTGTATTCAAGAATATTTGAGTTTTATTAAATATTTATTAAGTGTATTTTACAAAGAAACATGAAACAAATGTTCCAATTTTTATTTTGACATTCTTTTCAATCCTGATAATCTTTTTGTGTTATATTATGTCTGTTTGAAAGCTTGAGGTATATTCTTATATGATAAGACATCAGGTAAGGATAATTTAGGTTTAGCAAGTACAATAAGCTAATCTACAACAGCAAACTATTTGGATGACAATGATCCTTTTTTATTGAATATATTGTTAATTTTATTCTAATCAAATGATGCACAAAAACAAAATCTTGTTTATTGAATACAAATTACATCTTAGACATGTATTGATTTTGACCAAACTAATTTTGGCAAAATACACTATGGACACCAGATAAAGGTAATGGACTTCTGAAAGATGAGTTCATGGTTCACCAGTAAATATCTTTATGGTCATGCTGTGTGTATAGGATTTACTGTTGGGAGGTCATTTCCTTCAATCAGTAAAATAAAGTATCAAAAGAAATAATGAGTACGGAACAAGTTAAAATTGGTTGGCTATATATTAAGATAGAACTTCCTGAAGAATAAAAACTTTAATAAAGTAAGTCTATAGGAAGTATATTTTTATTGTTTTTCAAAACACTTTTTACAACAAATTTGGAACAAAAATGATACAAACACTAAATAAAATTGTATGAATTTTCTTCTACAGAAACTAGACATTATTTAGAAAGTTTGTACCAATTTTTATGCAGTTTTAATAGTTTCACCGTAATAATAAAAACATTAATTAGATTATCAAACTCAGCAACTGAACAACATCCTTGGAGTTTTTAAAAAACTCCTGATCGTTCTGACTGGCCCAGAACTTGCTTATGAAAACCCACAGGCATGAACTGACTTTTGTGTTAAATGTTCCAGTTGTTACTTCAGTGTTATTACATTTTAGGTAATTATTATTTGAAGTGCTTGAACTTCTTAAAAGAAAGTAATGGTGCTAAAAAATATTGAGATTTTGCTAAGTTTATTAAATAAAATCGTTCTAATTCACATTAGTTCTGTTACTATAAAGACCAACTACTCTTGGAACAATTCATGAATTTACATAAAAAAACATTTCTAATGCTACATTCAGTACTGCTGGTAGTTTTTGTATTCTATTAGTTAATGTTTTTCTTTCCATGTGTGAATTATCTTGAATGAATTTCATCATTATTATCAGTGATACAGTTTCATACTAAATCTATGTTGTATTGTTTCACTTTTTAAGTGATTTATAAAATATGTCTCTTCTATTGATGCAATTAAAATAAATACCTATATCTTCAGCAGGTATCTTTATTAGAGCAATATTTTGCTGTTACAGCTTTTAATGAAGAGCTATCAATAACATACAAGTTTGCTAATCTAGTTGAAACTAAATTGGAACACCATCATCAGTTAATTGAACATTGGTAAATGTGTCTAAAAGATTCATATCACATGGAATATAATACCAAAACATTTTTCAATTAATAGTGACATGTTGAGCCACTAAAGATAAATTCTGGAGATATAGTTCATTATTTTACTTTCATTAATAGAAATGTTTAGTAAATAAATTGCAGTTTGCATTGAACAAAGTTAAAAATGAAAATTGGTCTCTTATTTGATGTGTGTACTTTTTGGTATCTAATTTAGCATTTTTGTGTGCTTACGTAAAAGCAGTGCTGCTTAAAATTCTGTTTTTAAGGTTTTAATTTGTGAAAAAAGAAGGTTATTATTTGTTCTTATTTTTTTAGATTAAATTGGCTTTTTTGCTAGCAGATATTTCAAGTAAAACACTTTAGGAGCTAACGTATTAACTTTTAGAAACTTGTATTAGTTTATCTAGTTACCGTTATAGCTACTTTATATTGTTTACTGCTACCCTAGAAGCTGTCAAGCTTTAATTAAATAACTCTATAACAGTTGATCATTATTAATCTAGACACAACTGGGTGCAGACCCACTATTGCACTGACGTTTTACTTTTATGTAATGAAGTTTTCATTGTTTCATCACTGGGCAGTTTTAAGCATTAAGGCTTGTATGTTTTGATTGGTTTAATCTTTGGTTGCAGCTGATAAAGGAGAGAAGATTGACAATCGATGTTTGCTTGTATGGGAGGTGAGTACTAGCTGGTTTTCTATTTTATGGGTAATAGTTGTTTTACTGTTCCAGTTACCATATCAGTGATCTGGAACATTGCTATTTTCACACTGTCCTTTTTGTTCTGTAGTGTTGAACAAACTATTAAGTTCCTCTAATGTAGCTTTAATTAAAAAGTTGGAAATGTGCATTCTTGAAAATGATTTTTATATCTTCTTTTACTGTAGTAAATATTCTAAGGATTATGTTTTTTTTAAGTCTTTTTTTTTTTTAAATTTTTTGTACAGTGACAAAATATATGATGTGTGTTTGAGAGAGCCTCCTGATCTAAGTGTGCGACCTTAACATTATCATTATTTTCTTTTATAATTTTGTAATAGGGTACAGCTAAAAGCCGTAGTTTTGGAGAAATGAAGTTCAAGGTTTGTCCAACAGAAAGTTTTGCACGTGAGCACTTTAAAAAACATGGAGTGGAACATTACTGGGACCTTGCTTACAGCATTTCAATACTAGAGGCATCAGAAGATAACTGAACTTTAATATGCTTACTAGAAACCCAGTAAAAAAAAAGTGTAAATTTACAGATAAAATTTCTAAACTTCTTCAGTTTTGTGTCTTGTCGATATTATTTTCAAAATTAAAAAGTTTCTCAATCACTACAAAAACTTTTGGTAGAAGCTGATTATTTCCATTTATTTGTCCAAATTAAAAAATAAAAAGGAATAAAATAAAATGTTTTTGTTTTCTCAGTGAAACAAAGTACAACATCAGATCATCTATATGTATGTGTATTTTTGAATGGCAATACACATTTAATGTTAAAGTTTTTAATACTTTCAATAATAAAGCCTTAGGCTTGATAATGGCATTCTTAAAACTTTTATACAGCTCTAAGAGATATTAGAAAACTTACAGTTTAAATTATTTTTTAACTTTTCTAAATTTTATTAAACAAATTGCACAGTTAACAACAGTTTCCTGGTACCAAAGTGAACATTAAGATTTGTTTCTAGTTTGTACACCAGTGTTTCTTTAGTTCATTCTGTAGTAATATAAATTTATTTTGGGTGGAACAGAGTTTGACAGAAAAATAGTTGATGATTTAATATAGCTGTGGTAATTGTATTGTTTAACTTTATGTGCTCATTATTTTTTATATAAAGTTCAAACACTAAATATCATAGTTATGGGAAATCATCAACCGTGTTTCTATCAAATCTCAGTCTGCTTAAAAATAGTTATAATTTTGTTACAACAGAGAGTAGAGTGGGAATTAAGCTCCGAGGAAACTGGCTGTATGGGCTAAAACATGACCTAGTGTTAAGTAACTGCCAGGAAACGTTTGTTACTACCTTCTCTTCAGTTTCTGTTTTTTCCAGAAAGAAATTAGACTAACATCTAAGTGTTATTTTCACACTCAGTTCTGTATATGAAAAGAAATTAAAATAATGTACAACTTGAACAAAATGTGGATAGCTATAATTTAGATCATGGTTGAAATGTGACTTCAGGAGGGGAGGGAAGAATCTGAAATTCGTGGAAACTGTTTAATGTTATGAATGTATTTGTTTGAATTTTTGTGCAGAAATAAAATATAACCCAGAAAGTTATCAGCATGGTTTTCATACTGCTTAGTAAACAAATATGATACAGACCTTCATATGGAGTTGTGAAGACTGCAACGACTTGAAATAGTTTTTGAAAAATTGTTACACCCATCTGAAAAATTAAGGCTTTCAGGTAACTATTCAAGAGTACCATATGTTCAGTACATTCAAAATGTTTATTTGCTTCTTGTTGATAATGTGTGACTAAAGCTTGTTCTAAATATTCCATTGGCTCTAGTTTAACAAAATAGGAAAATCTTTGAATGTAGGTTTAACAGTTGGAAATGTGTGTTATTGAAAATTATTTTTATATCCTTTTATATATATATGTTTTTTTCAGTAAGATAAGATTGATCAGTTTCAAGGTGATTCATTAAGCTTTTCATAAACAAAATTATTTATTTCTGCAATTAGTTTGTACAGTGACAAAATGTATGATATGTTTTTGAGAAAGCCACCTGTCTGAGTATGGGTTGGAGAGAAATCCTTTTCAGAAAGTTGGAAGAAATATGATAAATAGTTTTAGGTACATAATGATGGAAGACAAATTGCTCTTTACCAGTAACTTTGGTTCTGTAGGTTAAATACATAAAGGGGGCTAAAGGAAAATGTGTGCTCCCATTTTTAAAAAAATTGTGTTTAAATTGAATAATGCAGAAATTTGTTGTTTTTTTTTGCTGTTGATGAGGGATGTTTTAAGTATCATTACATGTATTTATTCATAATGTAAACTGTATAGACAAAAATACTGAACTGAAATAGGAGGAGGAAATGGCTATGATTTATTACAATTTTATGTATGCTTAGTATAATCCTTTTTCTTGGTTTTTACCTTCAACTATAGTTTGTGGCCAAAATATACAATTGACTACTCTGAATCATTAATTTGTTTTTTTATGTGCAACTCAATATTTATTAGTCTAGTGATAAAATATGGGATTACAGATTCTCAATAAAAATTCAAGAATCAAAACCCATTTATTATTTAAGACCATAGTTGTTAATATTCTGTGTTAACTGTGAATGAAATAGTGTTGATGTAATCTTACGAACTTAAATTATTTTAGGTTGTCAGGGGAAATTTATTTTGAACCTTAGGTTAGTTTGTAGGGAGCTAATTGCTTTTGAGTTACAGATATAATCCATGAAAAATTACCACAGTATTAGAAAAATCAAGAAAAAATTGTGTGACAACCTAACTCAGCGGTTCCTTACCTGGGGTCCATGAAGGTAATACCATCTCATTAAACGTGGGTTTTTAATACTGCTGTTTTTTTAATTGCACACTTAGTTATATATGGCTTTTATTTGATAGTGAGAAATGGGAAACGAGTTAATTATTAGTTAATAAAAGCAGTTTGTTGGGTAGACGGAATCTTTCAAAATCATCATATCTGTGGGAAAAAAAATAGTAATAAAAGGGGTTTTTTTGTGGTGAAAAGGTTAGGAAACACTGCCCTAACTGCTGAATCTTAGTATCACTTCATATAAGTGTGGATGCTTAAGATGTGTGAGTTGGTGAAATAAAATGATAGACTACAAATGATAACACATATAAACACATCTCTATTGTGTTGCACAAACAGGCAATGCAGCTGTTAAGAATTTTTCCAAAACTGACATTTTAACTGAGAACTTACCATACTGGTTGACTGGTATTGTGATAAAACATGCAAAATTACTTCATGCAAAAGTAGGAGAGTTTTTCACTGCTTACGAAAAAAGTTACAATTAAACTTTATCATAGACATAGATTGAATGCTAAAATCAGAAATTGTCATTTCCGTTGCAGGGGTAGAGATATACAACTAATGAGACATAGTATCTCAATATAGGGCCAATGGAATTCAAAGGGTGGAATATAAATGTACTGCTCCATCTGCCACTGACTATCCAATACAGGACAGACATGAAAGGGTTAATACTGCAGTTTCTGGCCACCCAAGTGATATAGAAAAGATTAACTAGAAAATCACATTGGTAAAGGCTGGGAAAAAGGTCAGTTTAATACGTTGTAGGATCATTAGATGGATAAAGACAAGAGGTTATTAATGGAGTTAAGTCAAACTAGACTTCTTTTACTGGTAAGAGTTCCTTAAGGGTCAATGCTTGGGCTTTTGCTCTTTGTTATTTACATTAATGATATTGATAGGTTTGGGCCATACAATATACATAAGGACCTACCCTTCCTGCTTTCTCTGAAAATCGCTTGTGCAAACCACTTATTTTTCCTGAACATTTGGCAGCACCATCGAAAGTGCAATGAAATTATTTTCTTGTAATTCCAGTACCTTTTCATCATTTCTCTGTCAAGTGAACTCATAATGGTTTATGAGTCAATTCTTCCTAGATCATAATTTTTCTTTTACTTCACTGCTGTCAGTCAGATAGCGAATGAAAGTTGACAACTGGTTCACATTGTTGATATCTGACGATTTGTCAGTTATTATGGAGTCCATTTATTCAATTACGAGGTGGTGTCACAATCATCTAGAACTTCGGCAATGCAGATCAGTAGATCGCAAGCTATAGCTTTGCTTCTATATGTGGAACGGTCGCTCTTATTTTCCTCCCATTGTTTCAGAGAGTTGTCTTGTAGCATAAGATGATAAATCAAATGTTCATACTTTATAATACATGGGATTTCTTCTTTTGCTAAGAAGTAGACGCTTCTCTCAAACACAGCCACTGCTTCCCTGTTGCAACTACATTCCCGAGTTGACTGTTGGACAATTAAATATGAACCGGTTTTTAAAGACCTTTTTATACATTGCTTGAGCATGTTTCTCAGATTTTGAATGTTTGTCGAGCTATCGGTATTCTCTATTGTTTTTCAAAAGTTGGTTAACGGAACTGTTATGAAAACACCACCTGTTCTATGTAGTTTTATCTAAATCATTTTTCAAAAAATCTCGGTAGGACTTAAAAAAGGTCCCTCCAAGGGACGTATCAGAAAATAGCCATTCATATTTCTCTTCCCATTTTTTCTGGTATTTAACCGAGGGTGAGGAAGTTGCAGCAGTCTGGGTTGACAAATCAACATCACTAGTTCCAATACGGCTGCTTAACTTGGTTTCTTTGTAACAAACTGTAGAATTTATTTCTGCAACATACTTCGCCACAAAAAGTTCAAATCACAAAATTTAATAACAACGTTAAATAACGCACAAAACAACCAAATAGTTTCCACACAGTCTTAGCCACTTTTCTAGAAACGTTCACACATCTAATGGTGTCTACACACTTCAAGAAATGTGAAGAGTGTTAGGTAATAACTCTATGTTTAGCTTATACCATCCAACTCTAATTCTAGTTTCTTTAATACAAACTCCTACTTCTTGCGATACACATTTACTAACTGTCGAGGTCAAACGCGCTTTTCTTTGAGAAGTCGCCAGAATTTTGCGTTATTTGGTTTGTATAATCGTTGGGTATAGGTGTTCGATGAAATAATATTAAATTCTGACTCATTCCATTGTTAACGTCGGAAAAGATAAAATAAACCAAATATTTAAAGGGGAATTTTTTTGCACAGGATGGGAAATTTGTCTTCTCCTGTAAACCCCTTGAATTCAACAATGGTTCCAACTGGTATGAATTTTACAAACTTAACAGTTGCAGACGACCCAAAGTATAGTTCTTCATTATATATCAGAACCAGGAGTAATCACAACGTGTGACATCAGAATCATTTTAAAAAGTGAATCTCTTTACCTGCATATTACCAAAAGTTAAACCTGAAGTAGAACACAGCATAACGAAAATGTGTCTGCAGGTAACTTGTGAACATAGCTAGCAGTATGTTGGATAAATGCGGGGTTCAGCGTCGGAATTTGGAACAGGGAGGATCAGATTCAACGTAATCCTCTTCCTTCCTATCAGAAGTTGGTGTTATTTTATTTATTCTGAAACAGATTCCTAGGTAATTATTATGTTGCTTTACTCAGGGAATTTTAAATATTATCTATTGTCCAAAATCTTAAATTTAACACACCCTTTTCAGGTCATTTCATGGGGTTATATTAACAAGTATATTTGTTTGTTTGTTTTT